AAAATGGACAAGAGATCATAATTCACAAGACTTCTGACACTTTCTCATAAAACACTCATAGAGAAATTGATGAAGTGTGGAGTAGATGAATGGGCCGGAAGGTAGGTGGAAAACTGTCTGAACAGTTGGGCTGAAAGGATTGCGATCAGTAGCACAAAGTCCAGCTGGAGGCCAGTCAGTACCTCAGCGTTCAGTACTGGTTTGCAAATGATACAAAACCGGGAAGAGTGGCTGATACGCTAGGTGGTTGTACTGCCATTTGAGGGACGTAAGAGGCTGGGAAAAAAAGTAACCTCATGAAGATCATGAAAGGGAATTGCCAAATCCTGTCTCTGATGAGGAGTAACCCCAGGTACTAGTACATGATGGGAACTGACTGGCTGGAAAGCAGCTCAGTCAGAATGACCTGATGAACACCAAGATGACCATGAGCCAGCAGTGTGCCCTTGCAGCAAAGGTGGCCAATGGCCTCCTGGGCTCTATTAGGCAGAGTATTGCCAGCAGGTCGAAGGAGGTGACCCTTCTCCTTTACTCAGCATGGGTGAGATACATCTGGATCTCTGTGTCCAGCACTGGGCTCCCCAGTATAAGAGAGACATGGACATACTGGAGCACAAAGGGCCATGAAGATTATTAAGGAACTGGAGTATCTCTCATATCAGGAGAGGCTGAGAGAGCTGGAACTGATGGAGGAGGGAAGAAAACACAGCCAGACTCTTCTCACTGGCACCAGTGACAGGAAACACAAACTGAAATACAGGAGGTTCCATCTGAACGTAAGAAAAAAAACCACTTTTTCTGTGAAGGTGGCACAGGATGTCCAGAGAGGCTGTGGTCTCCATCCTTGGAGACATTCAAAGCGCAATTGGATACTGCCCTGGGCCACTCACTCTTGCATACCCTGCTTGAGCAGGAGGATTGAAGTAGTCAGTCTCCACAGGTGTTTTCCTCCTCTTAGCTATCCTACGATTCAGTGATTTCATGAAGAAGGTTCAATATATGAGAGGATATTTTCATTGTATTTAATTACACATGCCCAGTGTAATGTTAATAACGTGGGAAAGTTTACCCACTTTCATGATTAAACTTCTGAAAAACTCTTTCTGAGTATTTTCTTAAGCTTCTGGAATATTTTCTCTAACAGTCTGGAAAAAGCCAAAATTTGGACACATAGGATCATAGAATCATAGAATATTTGGGGTGGAAGGGACCTTTAAAGGTCATCTAGTCCAACTGCCCTGCTATGAGCAGGGACATTTTCAAGCAGATCAGGTTGCTCAGAGCCCCGTCCAACCTGACCTTGTGACCTCCTTTCAGGTAGTTGTAGAGAGCGATAAGGTCTCCCCTCAACCTTCTCTTCTCCAGACTGAACAACCCCAGTTCCCTCAGCCGCTCCTCATAAGACTTGTGCTCCAGACCCCTCACCAGCTTTGTTGCCCTTCTCTGGACACGCTCCAGCACCTCAACATCCTTCTTGTAGTGAAGGGCTCAAAACTGAACACAGGATTCGAGGTGCGGCCTCACCAGTGTCGAGTACAGGGACACGATCACTTCCCTACTCCTGCTGGCCACACTCTT